ATGTTATTTACTTTTACTGTTGTTGTGTTTCTTTCTAAAGCTATATGAATTCAATGTATTTTATTGTTTTGTTCGAAAAAAATACATAAAACAAGCCAAAAAAAGATCAATGACACAACACAATCCTGTGAAGTCTCCTGTTTTGGCTTCAGCCCCTGCAATTTAGTTCTCTATTCCTCTTCCCGTGTTAGTGGTCTTCCCAGGAATTCCCTGTGTCCGTTCTTTGAGGTTAATTCCACTGAGTTCCTGAAAGTGTAATTACAAGTTCTTCAAACCAAAATGTTCACTTCTCTCTTAAGTTTTTGATATGTTTACCTTGCTTGACATGTTAGCGCTGTGACGTAAAAGGTGGACTTAATTTGACCTACTTTGACATTGGCATCAGTTTGTTGAAACATCTTGAGTTTTTACACCTTTACTGCTGGAGGTTCTGTTGAGATTATCCAAGGGGCATCCATATGTCCTGCTTTCTCTACTGGGATCTTGTCTGGTTCGGCTCAGTCTGATGTTACGTCTTCTTTTTTTGAAGCGCATCTTGTTTCAATTCAGTTTAGCAACACTTTGACAAGGGTTTGATAGCCTCTACCAACAACATATCCCGCTATTAAACCTTTAGCAACTTCAGTTGAATGCTTGCATGCCTCCAGGACGTTCGACATGCGAGTCCACGCTCAAGCACTGGAAACAAGATGCCTCTGCGAGGTCTCGCGATATCACACTAGGTCTGTACTGATAGTATATGCAGTTTGTACTACAAGTAAATAGAAGGCAGTATTGTAACACCAGTGGTTGGGTGAGCACATGTTGAACCAGGGCTGGCCCTGAATAAAGATGGTGGATTGAACACTTCCTGGTGTCTCGTCAATTCATGGTAACAGGATCGGGGTAAATTTAATGAAAGGCTATTATTAACAGAGTTGAGATGAATACAATTCGTCCACCAGAAGAGATATGAGGGTGCCATGTTATGGATGGATTTAAAAAACAAACAGGAGACTTTTGAACCTTATCTGAAAAAACACTGGTAGCCAATGTAGCTCAGCTAAAACGGGTATAAAGTGAGAACGGCTGTTTGATTTAGAGAGAGATCTAGCTGCTTGTTCTGAACGTTTGTAGAGTTAACTGCAGACTTGTTTACACCTAGCAGATTAGAGTTACTGTAATCTAGTCTTGATGTAATTGTCACCCCGCAGCAGCCGACTAACGGCCGCAGGTTCTGGATACAAGGGGGAAACAAGCGACTCATGGTCCAAAGAACAGGCAGGGGAACCACTGAAGACTAACAGATAATTTATTGGGAGGAGCAAGGACAAAAGTTCCAGTCTTCTACGGTTAAAAAAAACCCCATAAAAGCAGTTCTAAAAACGATCTAAAACATCCTGGACTGGACGGTGTCTAGTACTAGGAGCCACCGCTTGGTTCCAGCTGATCGTGTTGACCCACGTAGCTGGGACCCAGTCTGCTCCACCTTGTCCTTTTGCTGTCAGGCACAAAGTCGACCTCTTGCAGCAACCCGTCTGTGCTGCTACCATGGCTCCAGTGTCGTCCCCTTGCCCGCTGGCTGCTGTGTGCACCGCCAGTTTCTCCGCATCCCCCTGGCACAGCTCCGCTCCTTGGCCTCCTCGGCTCAAGGCCCTAACAAGACACAGAAACACCAGCACCAAAATTGTGCCACTCACATGTGGGAGGAGAGGCCAACCCACAATCCTCCGCACTTGGCCGCTTGTCCACATCCCGGGACGGTGCTCCAGGTGCCGATCTGCATTCCAGGGTGGTCGAACGTTCATTTCCTTGCCAGAGACGTCACCGTCCAGGGTTCTTCTCTTGCTCTCAGATCTCATTCATGTCTCTGATATCTGCTGCCCTCCTGGACTCTCCTCAGTTCCCTTTATACCTCATTTTATGAGTCCACTGTACCTGTGGGCATTCCACACCTGTTTCCATTTGTCCAAATTAGTGTCTCTGGGAGGTACCACAAAGGGAAAGACCATTCAAAACATAAAATAAGCATGTCAATAATAAAAACACAAATCTTAAACTTAAACTAAATCCAAACTTTTCCACTTTGTGACATAATGAAAGCATGTATGATCGACTCCAGATGGGGTCTTTTAAGGATCTGCTTACGACAGGTTATGCCACATCGTTAGAAGAAACTAAATTTGACACAGTGGCGTTTATCTGAGGCAGCGTAGAGAGATCTGATCTAACCAAGTCACAAAAAAATTATCATTGCTTTTATTCGTCAGGCTCCAGGCTCCAGAAGGTAAGTCTCTGCTCTAGGGGTGTCCCGATACAACTTTTTCACTTCCGATTTGATATTAATATTGCCGCCTTCAGTATTGACCGATATCAATCTGATCCGATATCAGCGTAAATCATACATACATTTTTTAACCATTGGTTGCAAAAATGTGAACCTTAACGGACTGCTTAAATCAGAGATTTTTGATGCAGTCTGATAAAATCCCATATTGTGTTTTTGGGGCCGATAACGAATTACTTTCAATTTTGTAACGGGACATCCCTAATCTGCTCTCTCACCCCCCAGTCAGTCGTGGCAGACGACTGCCCATACTGAGCCAGGTTCTGCTGGAGGTTTCTTCCCGTTAAAGGGGAGTTTTCCTCTCCACTGTTGCTACATGCTTGCTTAGTATGGGGATTGCTGTAAAGTCACTGACACAACAAGTTAGTGACTCGATGCAGTCTGCTGGGTTTTCTTAGGAGTCTTTTAACTAATTGGCACGATCAACTGAACTGAAAGCACCATTTAATAAGTTAGCTCAATTGGAATGTTTGCCTTGTAAAGACTTATGTTGTGAATTGGCGCTTTATAAATATCTCAATTAAACTGAATTAAAAGCAAGGCTGCACAGTGGCACAGTGGTTAGCGCTGTTACCTTTAAGCAGAAAGATCCCAGGTTTGAATCCCAGTCTGGGGTCTTTCTGCATGAAGTTTGCATGTTCTCCCTGTGCACACGTGGGTTCTCTCCAGGTGCTTCCTCCCACAGTCCAAAAACATGACTGCCAGTTTGATTGGTCACTAAATTGTCAGAAGGTATAGAAAATGGATTGATGAATTAGAAGCTTTCAAAAGAATTTAAGATAAAAAACAAAAACAAAACAAAAAGACACTCGTGACCTGCACCTTGACATGGTGAGTGGTCTTCTCACTAAGACAGGTCGATTGAAACTGTGTTTGCTTGACTGCTCAGAACTACTTTCTAAATTTTAATCTCAGGGCCCATAATGAACTCTGTTTATGTCACAGCGCCCTCCCCTGGTTGCAAAGATGAAAGTTTGTACTTCATAATTGTAAAGTGAAAACTAATTCATCCTGAGGTTTTGATTTACCTCTTGATGTGAAACCAAAGACCTAAAGGCAATGGAAATTGTCCTCGCAGTAATGAGATGGGGTTCGATTCCCTGCAGTGCCTTGCTGATTGTGTCTACACCAAGGGGCAGTAATTGGCTACTAATAGTATCCTGCGGACTTCCATTTAACTCAACTTTCTTTTTATTGTAATTGAAGCAGCGTTAATTTTTTAACAAGCATTTGTTCACAATATATTTTACAAGCTGCTCCTAAAGGTGTCTGCGACTCACAGTCCCCGCGAGTGGCTCGGTGATCTGAGCTCCAGCTCTAATGAAGAGAAGCTCCCGGAGTTCTGCGTCGCTACAGATTATCATCTCAGCTGGTTCTGTTAACAAAAGCGAAACTTATTGCCGCGTTTACTTTCATCTTTAATATAGTTTCCTGCCAGAGCCTGGCAATATAATTCCCCACTTGATCATATCAGGCCAAGGCGTAATATGCATTCAAAGCATTGCAGCATTATTACTGCAAAGCATGGTGACACGAATGCCACAAAAATCCCGCATCGCCATGCCACCATGGCCTGCTCATAAGACATGCTCTGGCGGCAATATTACGCTGATTTGCTGGCATGATTTGTCTTCTAAAAAGGGTTTTTATCTCTACAGTCACCACTGCATGCATACATTTATAATGTACATGTGTGCTTACCTGTTCATGCCTGTACTTTCAGATATTTCCCCACTGTCAGATCAATGAAGTCTCATCTCATCTCATCTTAACCCTCACAGGCTCAAAATAAGTTTTGATAAAAGGACGAACTACTAAGTCTTAAGTCCACATCACCATGTTAACTAGCCTCGAGTTACTGAGTGACAGCACACGCACAAAGCTGTGGAAAAATGTTTCTTTTTCAACGGTTTTAGCTCTCCAGCCCCTGTGTGTGTGTGTGTGTGTGTGTGTGTGTGTGTGTGTGTGTGTGTGTGTGTGTGTGTGTGCGTGTGTGTGATTTGTTTTTCAACATTGCTGGTACCGTTTTTTGTTTCCAATTTGGAAATGCAGTTTCAACTAATTTTACACTTCCTGCATCTTTAATCGGCTCAAATTATATATATATTTTAATTTCATGTGTGATCTATCAGAACTCTCTAAATAAATGTTGCTTATTGTTCATAAACCTATAGTACTGAAAATATGTTGAAATTTTGATAATCCAAGCTCACACTAAATAATTGAATACGTTAACTTCACAAATTACTAACTGTCTTTAATGGATTTTCCTGCTAATGTAGAATAATCTATGAGTTGCAGTTTTGAGCTGGACCAGATCTAAGTTGGACCAGATGAAAAAAATATATATTGAACTGTTATAAATCAAATAAAGGTTTCACAAATCACAAACTATGTTTTAAGGATTCCCATTAGTTTAAATAATCTAGTTGAGTTATGAAGAGTCTAGGTGTTGTAGATTTTGAGCTGAGCCAGTTTTAATGTGGCTTAGAAAAGTGCTTAAATCAGTTTCCTTAGAACTTTCACAAATCCAATAAATGTTTTCAAAAATTAGAAAACCACATGTCCCACGGCCCGTGGGCCACGGGTGCAACGCCCCTGCAACAAAGGGAGCATTTCAAAAGGCTGTCAGTAGGGGGCGGTAGCGCACTGACCAATGAGTAGCACGTTTTAAACACCAGAGGAAGAAGAAGAAGAAGGAGAAGTAGCGGAAGGGGAAAGATAGTATTTGGTCAGGACGAGTTTTTCTGAAGGCTTATTGGGTAGTCTTTTGCTTTTTCGAGTTTTCAATGAAAATTGCCTTTAATACAAAGTCTCCATGCATGTCGAAGCCACTAGGAGGGAAACGTGACGCCTTCTGTGCGTGGAAAAGTCTTGGAATAATATTTGGTGAGTAGCTGTGAGCTAGGCTAACAACATCATTGTTACACAGTCCTAACAAGATCAGTGTTTCCATTACTAACGTCCGTAGGTTTATGAGAATCTGAGTTTATGCAGATTGGGATTCATCCGGGCAAAAAACGAACGGACAAATAAATCCCAATGATTTTTTATTTATTAACACATCCACACCAGGGCCTTTTAGCTCCTATTGTTCAAGGGTTAACAGATGTGCACGCAGTCTAGAAAACAGGAAGAGGATGTACCTTGTTACTGCTAAATCATAACATGTTCAGGTAAAAATGTTGCATATCTCAGGTAAACTATTTTTGAACTTTTTTTTTTCCAGATAAGAGAGTTTCGACTCAGGTGAATACCTCACTGGGAACTTAACAAGGCTTCAGCAGTAAGTGAAAACAGTTGTTCTATTTCGTATAGCTCCGCCCTTTAAGCCATCGCTTATTGGATTAATTCCATCCCCTTAACCAACCTTTGAAGAGCTTTTGTGTACACCCGCATTCTTGGCAGGTCCTGACTCCATATAAAGGGGGCATTGATCACTGCTTGTTTCCTTTTTTCGTCTTCAAACTTCATTTGAATGAGCAATATGTCTTCTACCACCTAGGGCTGCAACAAACGATTATTTGGATAATCGATTAATCGGATGGGGTCTCGACACGATTAATCGATTAATCGGATTACATGGGGAAATTTTTAAAAACTGCTAGGGAAACGTTATTTCTCTCATTCCTTCACTCTATTTAACACAACATTATTAGAAAACAGTTCAATAGCAGAAAAACAACATGCCATCACCTAAATTGTCTTATAAGGTGTATAGACAGAGACCCTAAGCTACATCTATCTGTGACCTAAAATGCTTGGTCCAAGTTAAACAGCTTAAGGGCAATTCTCATCTGTTTTGTTTGATCTCATCTGTTGACATTTATTTTAAATGTTATTAAACATAGGCTGTGAATTAATCAAAATTGATCACTATTTCCAAAAATGACTGAAAAAATACCAAATAAAACAAAAGTAAATGAATGCCATCCTCCTTGCGATGATGCCCTGGGCAACTGCCATAAAGTCACATCAAGAAATGCTGCTGATCATTCCAATGATCCCAAATAGACTCACATTAGGCCACATGAAAGCAACTGAACCCAAAAATATATTAACCAGTATATAACTGCACTCTCACACAACACGTCTGCAGCAACAGTTAGGACTCCTCCCTCCCTTTTAAAAGCGTTTTTGCTTCTGAGGACATTGTGGTTGTAAAGCCACATGCTAGTAGTCTGGCCCCGGTGTGATCAACCAGTTTCTGCGGGAATGTGACGGCGGAACCAGGGCCAGATTAACACTTTGTTGTACCCTGGGCAACAATATTCAAGGGCTCCATCATCACGACCCGAGGATCACCATAATGTGGTCACATACAGAATATTTTACTGTAATATGCAGTAAATATACTCAATACTTGAATGCCTGACAACACGTAACCCACCCAGAGTAACCTTTGACCCACCTCGTGTGGACTGACCAATGAGGAGAGGGTCTTAACTTGAGGCCCTCTCTTCATTGGTCAGTCTGCATGAGACTGACTCTCAACTGACGTTCAGTCGTAGGCAGCGAAGCATCTCTGTGCAGTGCAAAAGCCCGGGTGGACAGTTTGTTTAATGTAGGGTGATCATATTTCCATTTCCAAACAAGAGGACAGGGGATCTGTGCCTATGATGTCACACTATGGCAACGCCACACAAACCATGTTGGGACCCATTTTTTGTAAGAACTAAATTAATATCAGATTCTGCCAATAAAAGGGCTCTAAAATAATTCATATGTAAATATTTTGCATATTTAATGCAAAATCTCATTTTTATGCTTTAGTGCTGCAACAAGATTGTATTAATAATAAAGTATTATACCTTTTGTTTTACTACAGCATCGGTAAGCTTCCTGTGCACAGATTGTTTCAGCTGTGAGATTAGACGATAGGATTAGGGTTGTCACGGTATGAAAATTTAACCTCACGGTTATTGTGACCAAAATTATCACGGTTTTCGGTATTATCGCGGTATTTTTTAAGCGGTGTTGCATATGTTCAGAAAGCATTGATAGTCCTGTTTTACACAAACTGAAATAGTTTTGAAAAGGTTTAACAGTGTTTATAAAACCTAAAATAACACAAAGCCTTAGCAAAAGTGCAACTTTTCACAAGTAAAGGAACAAATAGCTTCTTTTTCTGGAACATGTTACAGTAGTCAGTGCAGGTTTAAATTATACAAATCCAAACATTCGAAACATAAACAATATGTAAACAAATCAAATAAACACCACTTGTTTTCTCATACACTTGTTTTCTTCATTATCAAAATGAAAATCTAAAACTCCAGTCCACACTTGACTTGAGCGCTGTACAAGTCAACCTTAAAAAAATATGTATTTAAAACAAATAGCCACTTTAAACAAATTACTAAAATAACTACTACACTATGTAATCAAATCCAAATGTTCAAGTATAAATGGCATTGAATAAGTAAACAAATCAATGACAAGGAACTAATTGTATATTTCTCTTCATCATCAACAAATAAGATGCTTCATCCAGCAACAGGGTGTCCGGGACACGGTTTAAATGCTGGCAGAGGACGCTGCGGCTGCAGTATATAGTGACTCGTTGTATTCTCCCTCAAACAAAAGTCCTCGCGTCATGCATTTAAGCTAAAATGCTAATGTTAACTTACCTTGCACTGGCTGTAGAGACGTGGGTGATGGTCACGCAGATGTGCCATTAGATTCGAAGTGTTGCTGCCTTTTGCAGACACTTGTTTCCTGCATGTTCTGCAAACGGGATAGCCGTCTTCTATTAACTGTCCCTCAGCATTTTTCAGAAATCCAAAATATGCCCATACTTCCGATTTAGTCTTCTTTGAGGGCGGATGGATGTCCTGGGCGCTGCCGTCTCCTCCTTCGGCCGTTATTTCAGCTTCAAAGTTTTGGTGCCGTTGCAAACTAAAAAGTGCGTGTGCGCGCCGCGGGAACTTCAGCTGAAGAGACGGTGGCTGGTAAGGGTCATCGCGCCGAAACCGCGGCCACGGTAAACCCACCGAGATAATTTAGTTTTTTAAAAACTGGACGGTTATTTTTATTGTCAACTTTTTTACAGGGGTTTACCGCTATACCGGTTACCGTGACAACCCTAGATAGGATCAATGAAAAAATAAGTTGTCACACACTCCATGGAAACTTTCAGAGAATCCACAAATAGTGGCTTTCAAATAGTTTTGTTACTTTTTGCAAGTTTAGAAAAGAAGCAGATGAGACAGCGTGTCTGATAATTTAGTTTTTCATCTGATAATATTAGAACATGTCAGTAATGTCTGAGGGGCTTTTATAAACACTGTATAACTAATACTCCTGGAGAGGGTATGAATTACACAGAGGCTTCTGGGGAGCCCAGTTATTGGGGGGGCATTTTGCCTTGGCCCCCAAAATGTCTTGAAACGGCCCTGGGTGTGTGACTGAGTTTTGAAGGTGATCTGAATTGTATCAGATGTATAAATATGACATGTGTATAACTTATTGTTTTTTACTGGTAAAAACGTGTAGTGGAGATAAATCTACCTACATTTTACTTTTCAACACTTTGTTTTGTTTTATTGTTTTTATTTTACTATTTTCCTGTCCTGTCTGTCTCTCATCTTCCTGCATCTCCTCATAATTCTCCAGAAAATCTGTTGCCTGGATTCTTACCTTTTCACCTCATCAGTTACTTTTGATCAAAGGGATCTCCTGACCGCTAAGCGCGTTTTCGATGCTGCGTGAGGTGACATCACCACAGCACAGGTGATGAGCTCCGCAGTAGCGCGCTTCAGGCACAAATAAGACAGAAAATAGAGAACATGTGCAGACAAGAACGATCGTGTGCTAATTATAGTTTTTTGGTTGCGCCACTTTGAGAATGGACCATGCGCTGGAAGCAGCTGCCTGGATCGCAGCGCAACAATGCGGAACCGGTTCGCAGCAGCGCAAGTCTGCAGGCTCTCCCTCGCGCTGATCTGCCGGTTACGGCTCTCCCTCGCGCTGATCTGCGGCTCTCCCTCGCGCTGATCTGACTTGCTCTGGTCTGCGCGCAACGGCGGGCGGGAGGGGGGGGCGCTTTTGGAAGAGTTGTGCGACACAACGAATCGATGACGCAATTCGTTGCCAATGCTTTTAGTAATCGATTTTCATCGAATTTATCGATTCGTTGTTGCAGCCCTACTACCACCATTCGACTGTGCTCGGTGTGCTCCACAGGCTACATCTCTTCTGACGACCTCCATCACAGATGTTTCGCCTGCCTCTGTGCTAAACACGCGGGTCTAGCTTTGACCCCACAGTCCACCTGTGCATTCTGTGCACTCCTCTCTCTGGAGGAGAAGGCTCGTCGCGTGCATCAACATATAAATATTGGACAATGGGTTTCCATAGGTTCCAATAATATGTTATAGGGCTAAAATGGGAGGTGGCCACCACGGCCTTTTTGACCGTGTCACAGGTTCCGTCAAGCCCAGACAATTCCATGAAAGGGAAGAGAGGTGGAGCTGAGGGTGGGGCTGTAAGGCTGGGATCAACTGACGACACCCGGTCGAACTAGCTACAAGTTAACCTGAAGCTAACCCAAAGCTAACGCGGAGGTGGGAGCTAAGCTAACGGAAGTAGCAACCTAGCTACAACCGGAGTTAACTGTGCACAACACCAGAGCTTCTGAGTCAGAGATACGCTGGGCTGACCGCTGGGTAAAACCGGGTGGAACACAGAGGTCTCCTGAAAGCTTCTGAAAGCTGGCAGCCCGCGCAGCAGACAGAAGCCGCGATCAGACAGAGATGCGCCGAGCTGCGGGGAGGGGAGAACCACAAGCTGGCCGGCAGCCCGCGCAGCAGACAGAAGCCGCGATCAGACAGAGATGCGCCGAGCTTTTCAGTTTTCAAACTTCTGGTTTTGATAATAAACCTGGCAATAAAGGGGTTAAATCCGAGAAACACACACATATTTTATTATATTTTGTTAGGGCTGAAGCCAAGGATGAAATTCATGTAAAAAAGTTGGGACTTATGAAATATTATATAATATTTCTATGGGAAGCTTTGCAAGTGCATTTTTTTGTGCTCAAAGAACATTACCATTAGAAAATTAAAAGGAACGGTAAGGGTTAAAATACCACCAAGCTGCAGATATTTTAGCTCTCCCAAGGAGACATGTTAGCTCTGTATTAGCAGGCTTGCTAAAAGAAGAAGAAAATATCTTTTCTATAGCGCCTCTCAAGATAAAAATCACAAGGCGCTTCACAAAAACAAAAAATGTAAAATATAAAAAAGAATTTAGAAAATGATTAACAATATATTTAAAATGAGCAAAAAATAGGCAATTGTGATAAAAAAATATACAGAAAGAGAGAGAGTGGACAGGGAAGAGGGAAATCGGGATCCTAAGGAAGGTGGAATAGGTAGGGAGAGCAGAACAAGGAGAGGGTGATGAAGGTTACACCAAAATCAGCTTGAACAGGTGAGTTTTCAGCTGCTTTTTAAAGGAGACCACTGAGTCCACTGATCTCAGGCGCAGGGGGAGAGAGTTCTTGAAATGAACCCTGAAGTTGACTGGCAGCCAGTGAAGCTGGATGAGAAGCTGGGTGATGTGGGTGTGTTTGGAGGACTTGGTCAGAAGCCGAGCACAGGCATTCTGAACCCCCTGTAGACGGTTCAGGGAGGTTCTGCTCAGACACGTGAAAAGAGAGTTACAGTAGTCTAAGCATGAGGAGATGAAGGTGTGGATAACTGTCTCAAGTTCAGAGCGGGACAGAATGGGACTCAGCTTAGCAATGTTCCTGAGATGGAAGAAGGAAGAGCGAACAAGAGAACTGACATGAGAATCCAGGGTGAGAGCTGGGTCAAAGGTCACACCAATATTCCTGACGCAGGTTTTGGTGTGAGAAGCAAGCTGACCAAGAGAGTCTCTGACTTTGGGAACCAGCTTGTCTGGGGCACAGATGATTATCTCAGTCTTATCTTCATTCAGCTGAAGAAAGCTCCCAGCCATCCAGGTTTTGATAGAGTCTAAGCAGGTGTGTAGCAGCTGCAGCTAATGGGCCATTCCCATCTGTACCGGGTCGGCCCGGGCCGGGTGGCCCCAGCCTGGCCCGGTTGATTCCACACATCCTTGTCTTAAGCCCATGTGGGCTGATTCTACCCACCAATCTGAGGCTTGCTCTAATAGAAGGTGTGAATTTGCTGTCAGCAGTGGGTGTGTTGGCCCTGGTCGGCCTGAAGCAGACCCCCTTGAGAAGAGGGCTGAGAATGAGCCTTGGTTGGCCCGGAAAAATACCAGGCCACCCAGATATGTAAACAACCTACGCTACCCGGCCCGGGCCGACCCGGTACAGATGGGAATGGCCCATTAGACATCTCATGGGGCTTAAAGGAGATGTACAGTTGGATGTCATCTGCATAAAGATTGTAGGAGATTCCTTTGAAGGAGCTCAGGATGTGCTGAAGAGGAAGCAAATAGAGGAGGAAGAGCAGAGGCCCCAGCACAGAACCTTGAGGGACACCATGGGTAAGGGAGGTGGTACAGGACCTAAACTTGGAGACAGCCACAGAAAAGGAGCACTCAGAAAGATAGGAGGAGAACCACTCCAGAGCATTTCCTGATTACGTCCAGAAGGCATCCTAATCAGATGCCTGAGCCACCTCAACTGGCTTCTCTCGATGTGGAGAAGCAGATGATCTACTCCAAGCTCCTCCCTGATGACAGCACTTCTCACCCTATCTCTAAGGGAGAGTCCAGCCACCCTGCAGAGAAAACTAATTTTGGCCAATTGTATCTGCAAGCTCGTTCTTTTGGTCACTACCCTTAACTTGACTGGTAAATCAAGAGCTTTGAAACCATAACAGATCGGTACAACGCCCGCATCACTGCAGATGCAGCACCAATCCACCTGCATTCTGTCCTATTCCAAATCAAGACCATGACCTTGGACTTAGAGAAGCTCATTCTCATCCTAGCTACTTCACACTCAGCTGCGAACCGCTCCAGCGAAAGTCGGAGGTCACGTTCCGATGAAGCCAACAGGGCCACATCATCTGCAAAAAGCAGAGACTCACTCCTTAGGCAACCGAAATGTAACCACTCAATCCCTAGGCTGTGACTAGAAACCTTGTCCTTCAATGTGATGAACAGAATCGGTGACAAAGGTTGGCGGAGTCCAACTCTCAAGTCTAAGCATGTTTTACGTTATTTTAAGATTGTTCAGCTTTTACCCTAGTGGCTGAGTGATTATGAATAAAAAATCTCTTGACCTGGGTTCTGAAATGACACTAATGTAAAAAAAAATAAAAAAACATGTTTTTTTATAGCTCCCTGCTTGATGTATTGGCTAATTTTGAGTAATTTATCCCTGTAAAAGCTGTTAACTCATCTTTTATTGCTTTATTTATAAATGTTATTTTATGCTCAAATGAACTTTATAAAGTTTTCAAATTCTAAACACATTTAACCACTTACACATTTCTGTCTTGTTTTTGCAGTGTCATATCCTCATGATCAACCATTCCTCAGACAGACTTTTGAGGAGCGTTTTTCACTTCCAGATGTAAGAGAGGTATGAGAGACTGTTTTTCTCTTTCCTAACATTCATTTCAATTCCTCACTAAGGGATGCACCGCTCTGCAGATTCCTCAGGTGTACTTATCGTGGAGTCCACTTCACATTCTACTTTAAAGAGCAAGTCAACCCCTACCAGATTCTAACTCCACTCCCACTTCATGTTTGAAAAATGCAACAAATGCTGTTGCCTGGCAGACCGAGAGGGCGGAGCTGCTAACAAATACACACACACAGGCTCACGACAGCATTGTGACATCATAATGTACCAGATGACATCACAGCATACCTCTTAGCCAATAGCGGTGGCAGATTTAAATTAGAATACAGTGCAGAGTTTTTACCTGACAACCGCACAAAACTGACAGTTTTAGGCAGAATATTTAAATTTTAACTAAGATGCACTGAAGTGCCAAATTATTGACGACACGTGTCTGCAGCACGATTAGACACTCGTTTATTGAGTTTATCAGCAAAAAAAGTTTATTTGGGGGTGACTTGCTCTTTAAGTAACAAGCGTTCCTACACAAGTGCCACTGAACCAGTTTTTATCATTTTGACAAATCTCTTGTCAGCTCGGCTAGCATTTTCCTAGTCTGGAGCCAGGTACCTTTTCCTCCATCACCACATGCTAACTTGCTTTCCTCCGGCCTGACCTTCACCTTCGGTGGGGCACATTTGAGCAGTCTCCAGCCAAGGGGCTGGAATATGCTCGTTTGGCAATTGATAACCGCAGGTCATGCGCCTACTGAGGCTGATTCCCTGTTGATGGTTAACACGACTAGCTAGCCTGGAGAGTGACACTTGCCTGCCGACAGCTGACAACCATGCGCTTCAGGAACGGGAGCCGTTTATAGAGACTAGCTGGGGTTCCCAGTTTGACCTGGCCATGACGAAACTGCCCGTGGCAAATGTGCTTGAGTTGGACTATGGGGATGACCTCGAAGACACCTTAGAGCCCATCTTATCAGAGGATGACGAGGATGAAGATGTGTTCCTTCCTGCCACCCAGGCTGTGCTGCTTGGCACCCTGTCCTCTTCCCAGGATGGAGCGTCCTCCCCAGCTGCACACCTGGACATGCAGTCCATGTGCAAACAAGCTGCGACCAGGCTTAAGATCCCCTGGCCATCTGTTGTGACAGAAACAGTCCGATCCCGATATGAGGGAAAGAAGCTGCCTAAAACCCTGAGGGTGGCAAAACCATTTCTGCCAGTCTTTCCAGAGCTCCTCAAAGAGGTGAAAACCTTTTGGACATACCGCCCTGCAGAACTCCTGTGCAGGGGGCCTCTTTGCAGGATTTCGAGGACATGGAGAAGGCTGGTGTGCTCCGGGTTCCTCAGATGGAACCAATGGTGGCAGCTCACCTACACCCACAGCTTAGGGCAGTGTCCTCCAGACCTCCTGCTCTCCCTTCAAAAGTGGACCGCTTCCTGTCATCGCTAAGCAAGAGGGCGTACAAGGCGGCAGCCCTCACAGTCAGGGCCCTTAATGTCTCCTCCATGCTCTCTGCATACCAAGTTGAGCTTTGTGAAGACATGGCTGCAAGCCCGACCCTAATCTGTGGGAGGAGATTGCCCTGCTGACAGACATTTGTCTGTGCATTCAGCGCTGTGCGGTCCAGGCTATGGGGAAAGCCATGGGGATGATGGCGCTGAAGGAACAGACACGATGGCTCAACCTCACCTGTGTAAATGATGTGAATGAAATTAAATAAAGCGAAAATGAATACACCTCTCAACTAAAACTACTACATCAAGTATTTTGTATGACCACTGTGATTTTCAAGGACCACACCGAGTCTTCTAGGCATGGAATGAACAAGTTGGCGACATATTGCAACATCTGTCTTTTTCCATTCTTCAACCTCTTTTAGAGCCTGATTGGTGGATGGAGACTGATTCAATTCAGTTCAGTTCAAAGATACTTTATTAATCCCAGAGGGAAATTAGAGTTTCAGTACACACAATTCTGAGATCAGACATACATACATAGACACATGACAAGAATTCCTGTCCCGAGTCGCACTACCGTAATAGATCAAGAGGGTTTATATGAGGATAGAGTCAGGGGAAGGGAAAAAAGGCACTTCAGAGTTACCCTCCACAGAGAGGGCAGCCTTGCTATTAGGGCTGCAACAAACGATTATTTGGATAATCGATGAATCGGATGGGGTCTCGACACGATTAATCGATTAATCGGATTACATAGGGACATTTTTAAAAACTGCTAGGGAAACGTTATTTCTCTCCTTCCTTCACTTTATTAAACACAACATTATTAGAAAACAGTTCAATAGCAGAAAAACAACATGCCATCACCTAAATTGTCTTAAAAGGTGTATAGACAGAGACCCTAAGCTACACCTAACTGTGACCTAAAATACTTGGTCCAAGTTAAACAGCTGAAAGAGCAAGTCAACCCCTATCAGAGTCTAACTCCACTCCCACTTCATGTTTGAAAAATGCAACACATGCTGTTGCCAGGCAGACCGAGAGGGCGGAGCCGCTAACAAATACACACACACTCAGGCTCACGACAGCATTGTGACATCATAATGTACCAGTTTACATCATAGCATACTTAGCCAATAGCGGTGGCAGATTTAAGTTAAAATACAGTGCAGAGTTTTTACCTGACAACGGCACAACACTGCCAGTTTTAGGCAGAATATTTAAATTTTAACTAAGATGCAGTGAAGTGCCAAATTATTGAGGACACGTGTCTGCAGCACGATTAGACACTCGTTTATTTAGTTTATCAGCAAAAAAAAGTTTATTTGGGGTGACTTGCTCTTTAAAGGCAATTCTCATCTGTTTTGTTTGATCTCATCTGTAGACATTTATTATAAATGGGGATGTCAAACAACTAATTTTTAAATGTAATTAAACATAGGCTGTGAATTAATCAAAATTAATCACTATTTCCAAAGATGACTGAAAAAATACCAAATAAAACAAAAGTAAATGAATGCCATCCTCCTTGCGATGATGCCCTGGGCAACTGCCATAAAGTCACATCAAGAAATGCTGCTGATCATTCCAATGATCCCAAATAGACTCACATTAGGCCACATGAAAGCAACTGAACCCAAAATATATTAACCAGTATATAACTGCACTCTCACACAACACGCCTGCAGCAACAGTTAGGACTCCTCCCTCCCTTTTAAAAGCGTTTTCGCTTCTGAGGACATTGTGGTTGTAAAGCCACATGTTAGTAGTCTGGCCCCGGTGTGATCAACCAGTTTCTGCGGGAATGTGACGGCGGAACCGGTTCGCAGCAGCGCGAGTCCCCCCCCCCCGCCTATCTAATAGCGTTGCGCTTACGATTTTATAGACTTTTTTTTACGAGCTTAGGGCATGTCTAGCGTGTGTAATAATCCGGGGCTTGTGTGAATCACTTTTGAAAAGTTTTTAACTTACCCGGACACCGAGCTCTCTCCTTCCTCGCTGATGATTCTGACATGCGTTTAAGATGCTGCATCATCACTGTAGTACTCCCGTGCCATGCTAATTCTGACCTACAAACGTTGCAGGTAACGAATGTCTTTGCCTGATTTAACTGAAAATGCTCCCAAACTTTAGAAGTTTTTACTTTTTTTGGGTCTCGCTGCTTCTGCCCTGTTCCTCTTCCAAACACCTGCCGGCTCTCCGGTCTGCACGCAACGGCAGGCGGGAGGGGAGGGGCCTTTTGGAAGAGTTGTGCAACACAACAAAGCGATGACGCAATTCGTTGCCAACGCTTTTAGTAATCGATTTTCATCGAATTTATCAATTCGTTGTTGCAGCCCTACTTGCTATGCAAAAAAACACCTCAGACAGATATGCACACAGACTTCAGACATTACACAACATAAGTGTCCACTAGGTGGGGAGGTAGGGTTGGGACTCTCCTCACTTTAGTGCGTGCAGCTGCATGGAGCAGCGCTCATCACCTCCGTTAGGACAGGGGAGGGAGATAATGGGTTAGAGAGCACAGTGACTCCTAGATACGGTTCCACGGCCTTCATCGGTCACAGTCCCACCCAGGCTGGGATAGGGACAAAGAGTTTCCATAGCGACGGCCACATTCCACATTTCTTCTGAGGGGGGAGTTATCACTTCAGCCTCACAGGCACCAAGTGCACCAGATTCAGATAAAAATTGTTTTGGAGACAGAAAGAGATAATTTCCTCTCTGCCTTAGTGTTCTGTTGGTCTACAACCCCTCTAGATCCAATAATGGCGTAATTAATCAATCCCAATCCGTGCTGATCCGTCCACTCGCTCCTTGATGGTATCTACCTTTTGTGCCAGAGCCTGAATCTCAGCCAAAGTTCCAAGCTTACGACTCATCTCGACAGTTATGAGTTTGTGCGTTCACAGCACGATTCATTCCATCCCTGAGCTCCGGGATTGAGCCAATATTCCTGATGCTCGCTTGCTGCTTTAGAATTCCCCACAGGTGTTCCATTGGGTTCAGATCAGGAGACATACTTGGCCATTCAAACACCTTCACCCTGTTCTTCTTTAGAAATGCAATAGTAGCTTTAGATGTGTGTTTGGTACCGCTGGGGTAAACGATTGTATTTAAAACAATTATTCGGGCGATTATTTTATCGAATAGTCAACTATTCTAGTGACTAATTAGACTATTAATCTAACGATTATTTTTCTGTTGAACGATTAATAAAAACCAGAAAATCTCAAATAAATACCCCAAAAAATGAAATAAATTGGTTCTATAAGAGAACAATCACTACAGGCCTTCCATCTTGTATAACACTGCTTCTATTGTGATGCAGTGGGCTGTGTTCTGGTGACATGTAGAGCTTGGGAGTGCAGGCTGCCGGAGAGATGGTTCGAGACAGAGTTTTTTTCTCCTAGCTGCTTTGTTTCGGTCAGTCATGTATGTGTGGTGTTATGACGCTTCCTGGGGAGTTTGGCTTGTATGCAAAAAGGAGGGGACAGTAACACAAGATTTAAAAGTTAAAATGATGAACAGGTCTATTTACTATAA